GTATATAAAGGCACGATTGAATTCAAAATGTAAACGAGGGTACGTACCAGGTAAATAAAGATTAGAGCCCAAACGTTATGATTCACTAAATGGTGGTTCAGGATCCAATAGTTGAGCGATTTAGAAGATAATACTATTAAGAGAATACAAGATGTTAAAGAGATAAAGGAAATAGCGATATCCACACAAGTCATGTAGAAATAATGATCTGAGGTTGATATTCCGCGTTTCCATTTGTTCAAAAAAGTAAATACTACTAAAGGATCTTCAAAACTTTGATTGTATTTCTAAAAGTTAAAGACAACGAATGTCATAACACATTAGAGCTTATCACCAATCTTAGTTCTGATTATGCGCACGGCAGAGCCAGAGAAAGCTTGGAGTTTGTAATAGGAGAAACACTTTTTCCCCATGTGAAGACATTGTCTGTACATGTCCGAGTCAAACTTGGGGGTAATCTTAATTACAAAGTTCAAGGGTTTACTAGGGGAAGTGCAGGTATTAACTTGAACAAAATAATGCTCTTCTGATCATTTAGAATTACTGATAGCTTGCAGCCAATCATAACCATCATTCTACGAAAATTGAATTTTTATTAGGATCGAGTTGAGGGCGGGGTCACAATAACTAACCAAATCAAGGAGAGTTTCTGATTGCTAGGAGCTTGTACTTTTCTCATGAAGGACAGTAAAATTGAACTGTAATAAACGCATTCATATCTCGTAATTATCTGTAGTGGCTCGGACTTCCAGGCAGTATCAATGAGTAAAACGAACTATATGTGAATTAGAAAGCAGGAAATCTTTGTGATGTTCTTTTTTATGATAGATGCGGGAGTTACGTGAACTCTATTTTGTACAGCGGTTGTCAATATAGAAACTTGTTATAGATATACAAAAAAGGGAGGTATGCGAATGGTAGGAGAGATGAGAGAGAAAGAGTGAGAGACAGAGAGAGAGAGAGAGGGGGCCTAAGAGGGATGACGAAGAGCATAGAAGAAAAAGGAGAGAGAGAGAGAGAGAGGGGGGAGAGAGAGAGAGAGAGAGAGAGAGAGAGAGAGAGGATAGCGAAGAGAGAGGACGAAGAGAATAGAAGGAAAAGGAGCGAGAGAGAGAGAGAGTGTGTGGGGAGAGAGAGAAAGGAAGAGAGAGAGAGAGAGAATGAATAGAGAGAGAAAAACCGAGATGGATGGAGGGAAGGAGGAAAGGAGGGAAGGAAGAGGGTTGGAGGGTGGGATGTGGAGGGAAGAATAGAGGGAAGGGTGTAAAATACCATTGTTTATAAGGCAAAAATAGTTTGTGAAATAAGAGGCAACTAGGAGCAGAGATATAAACAAAACTGAAGACAGGGAGATTGCTAGCTTGACAGAGAGAGAGAGAGAGAGAGAGAGGTGGAAGGTAAAAATGTAAAAGAAATGATGGACATATTAATGTGAAGGGGTGATGCTATAGTCGAACAACGACAAGTTTATCATTGTCATGAAAACCCTGTTGAAGCTTAATGGCATCCTATAAACTTGTCGTAACTTGAGCATGTTGAAGGTTGATGTATGGATTGAATTTTTGACATCACGATTCATAGTGATTTCCTGAAATAATTATGATGAACAAGATTTTTATCATGCATGTCACCGGAGGCTTTTATGTATACCTTCCTCCGCGTTCTTACACCCCGTTCCCCTCCCCCAACCACCAACCCCCTCCTCCCCATCCTACCACCACCACCACCACCCCTTCCACCCTGGTCCCTGGATGCTCCCCCATTAATGAATTGGAAAGCATAATCTCCATTATGGTCGTCTGCAGTTGACGTCTGCCAGTTATGTAAAAAACGGGGTGAACGATCTTTTTTGGCGCCCGAGCTTATTTTCATGAGTGATCGTATCATCATTATTAATTCTCATTTGCAATTGAAATTTCCGCATCATTCTTTATGCATTGTGAGAGCAGTAGGAGCAGGATCTTTGAGTTATTATTGATGAGATTCATTTCTCATTACCGTAACCGACATCTATAGTAGCATCTCAACTCAGGTTTGTTCCTCTCCTCATGTTTGCATGCCTCTGGAATTTTTGAGCTTTCATTCATTTTCATTCTCTTTCACATCAAAGATGACGCTAGCTTATTAGCAAAATTAAAACTTTTTTGCGAAACCACTTATACGTTGTTACACAAATGCAAATAATACCCCGTGTGCGTTCTTTACATTTCCCCCGACAATTATTTATTGCCTATATTGTCCTCGAACAGATCTAATTTCATAAAATGTTTTTATGATTGAAAATGTAAGAACCCTTTCTTTCTTCAGAAAATTAGTTTTACTCAGTAAATGCCTCGTCTGTCCCCTAATACCTTCCTAACCATTTTTCTGCATGTTCTTGTGAACTTAATTTTACATTTATAACACGAGAACGGGATTAGGAACATCATCGAGATGAAAAATAAAAAAAATCAGTAAAATGGTGATCATGTTAGAAGAGTAAAGTAGAGATTGGGAGAGAAGTGAAAATGTAAGCAATCAGAACTGGGTATTAATAATCAGTTTTCATTAGAATAAATGTGACTTTGTACTTTAACCATCCATGCCACTCTTGCATGTCCGTGTCTGACCTCAATTTCTATTAGAACGGACTGGTAGAAAGGAAAGTGGTGAACATCGGCAAACTTTTTGACCAATCAAATCCTAAGAGATAGAGACGGATGGGCTAGACCGGTCATAAAGACACCTTATACCAATACTACGTTTTGGTCTGATGGAAACTCGGGTGGATATAGCATTGGCGTCATCATCAATCTAATGAGCCATTGTAGTACAATATCAATTCGCATCTCGATGGGTAGTTTCATCAGTGCTCGTATATATTCCCACCGAGATCCAGGCGACTGATGATGCCGTGTACGGGGGCTTCCGCAGTAGCGCCGATGACTCTCCCAGCCCTAATAGCGAGACAAATTTGGGTAATGAGCTTTTTAGATTAAAAGATACAACTTTGATGACTGACATGAATAGATTGGAGGGAGAGTGTATTATGGATTATGATAGATAGAAGGAGGAGGAAAGGCCCAGATCATGCAGAAGATAGTCTGAGGGAGAGACTGACTGCATGGGCGATACGAGAAAGAAGGAGAGACCAAATGAATGGAGATACAGAGGAAGGCATATACAGATAAAGATGAAATAAACATTAAATTTCATCAGAAAGAATGAAATCGAATGAGACAAAGATTAGGAAAATGTTAAGAGAAAGGGGTCGAGAGGGAGGGGCGAGATTATTCATATGAGAGAAGTAAGAATGAGTTATAGATTAGAGAGAAAACGGTCAAGAAGGAAAAAGAAATACAAGAGATACTCTGATAGAGAGAGAGAGAGAGAGAGAGAGAGAGAGAGAGAGAGAGAGAGAGAGAGAGAAAAGGAGAGAGAGATGAATAGAGAGAGAGAGAGAGAAAGAGAGAGAGAAATAGAAAAAAAGAGAGAGAGAGAGATGAAGAGAGAGAGAGAGAGGGGGGGGGGGGGAGAGAAAAGAAAGAAGAGAGGCGAGCTGGATGGTGCGTTTTAAAGATCTTAATGCGGTTACACCAAAAGAAAAAGAATAATAGACACAAATCTAGAATAAAGTTGTAAGAGAAAGAAAAGGGGCTGATAATGGACTCTTTATATATTATTCATATGTGGAGCCGATGTGGAGCCGGTAATACAATAACTGAAAAAATATGTTTTCATTTGAAATGGTAATGAGTGCAATCTCGCAGCAGTCGGACAATGCAATATGTATTTGTTGATCAGTCGCTCCCTTTTTTTTTATTGCAAAGTTGATTGTGTGGCAAGACTCGACAATATAAGGCTTATTTATTGTTATTAGGATGACATTTCCACGTATTTGTTCATTTTCTTTTCCTTTTCTATTCCGAATGTAACTTTTGTGCGAAGGGGGATAAGCAGCGGTGCCAGTTCCATATCCGGGGCTGGCGCCTGAACACATTTAGGTCCGAGAGCCGGGCTACAAACCAGCAGAGAGAGAATATAACAACAACGAGCCAAACTGATATGCCTGTCCTACGAGCAAGAGAGCTCAGTGAGACGACAAAATGGGTACCGTAGGCTGAGTAGTTTATTGGAACATGATAGAATACACGACTTATTATCAGGGTGGAAATTTATGAGAGTAATTCACAAGGACATGCTATCTCATTTGAGTGGGATTTTGCCGCCAAATTCTTTTGAAGGCATGCCGCCGTTGATATTGACTCGCACTCCTCTCCAAAATAGAAGATTTATCATTTTTCCTCTTCCAATTCTCTTTGTGTTCAGCACATAATCGAAGATACGAGAGAAAGGACACGTAGGGAAGCGTTACGGGAATGTTTAAACGATGAAGGAAGTTACATGGTTAGTAGTAAATTGATCTCAAAGGCGGACGACACTTCAAGATTGAATCTATTTCCCTTGTTCTCAATTGATCTAATCTCTCTCAAACTTCTAGAATCAAAAGACCTCCATACAAGTTAAACAAATTTCCAAACATGGACATGTTTGTTTCATACTCCACTTTCATCCAAACGTGCAACATATGGCAAGCTCTTTGCTCAACACCGTATGGTACAATGCAATGTATCAAAACAAAACAAAACAAAATGAAACGAAAATGAAAGGATTAAAGAAATGAAAAGGAAGAAAAACAAAACAAAACAAATAAAAGAAATCAACAACACACACACAAAAAAAAAAGATATAAAAGAAACCAATCAAAACAGGTGAGCTTCTTCTGATAGCCCTTACACAACCTCCTCTCCACCTTTCTCTCTCTATCTCTCTCTCCCCTCTCCCCCTATCACTCTTTCTCTCTCGTCAGTTTACCCTTCCTCTTCCACTACATCACTTCCCCTTCACCATTCTCTACATTCAAACATCTTTTGAACCACATGAAAGGCAGAAGGTTGAGTGAGTTTACAAAATATCATTTTAATTCTATTTTATAGCATTATGAACATATTTCTGATATATTTTGTACACAGCTTCTTCTTTGTATTTACAACCAGTCACAAGAAATTATTACCCAAGCTAATCACTGCTTGTGTTTCAGTGAGAAATTATCATATCTCTATACGTCAGAAGAAAAAAAATGAATACAGCAAATAAGGTGTTTAGGGACACAAAGACATTAAAAGATAAAATGTATAGTCATGTGAAATGTTATTTCACACATAATGCTTTATAATCAAACTTTTCTGATTGAAAAAAATATCAAGTATAACACAAAAGACTAGGAGAGTTTTAATACATGATGTGTTGCTGGCTCTCTGAACTGTTGAAAGATAAGCAAATGAACAGCTCTAGATAAATTAACATAAATGGTGCTATCAATTTTTCTTCAAATGGAGATTATAAAAAATGAGCCCCAAAATGGTATAGAAATTAAAACCATATTGCCTGGGCCGACAATTACATGGAATTTATTTGAAATTAATCCCCTTATTCATAATGTTAGAGTAATGTTGGAGTAACATATAATATGGTTTATAAAAATCATCACAGAAAATCGACATGCATTTTGTCACATCTTTAAAGAATTAACATTGACAACTTCTATGGATATTTTTTTCTCACATGTTAAGACAGAATTCATTTACAACTACCTTTACTTCTATGTAAAGTTATAAGTAATTCCTTTAATAACTGCATCTCTATCACAGAACTCTCAAGAACTATAAACCAGAAATCGAATCAGCTCATAATTAAGTAGATTGCCCAATGTAACAAGATGCAAAAACAATCTGTGAGACAACATCAGAATGATCTCACCATACAGTCTGTCTGTGGTAAATGTAAACTTCATATGTGTGCACCATAGTCAATATATCAAGGGGCCATGAATGATCAATGTCAGTGACCCTGACAAAATTACTTTCTCGCAGTCACAGATATTTTGTAAAATGACAACTTCAATGAGCGTCAAAATCATCATATTCCATAATTACAGAAATATTCATAGTAACTTTTGATACCACCCTTTCTTCCTAATGAAAAAAATGTGATGGTGAATAATGTAATGCAATATACTACTTTGTGCTTTTCCTTGAATTCAAATAGCTAAATTGGGGAAGTTTTTATTTAATAAAACAAAGACTCCAGTTCCAGGCTTTGTTGTATAACATTACAACACACTAGTTACCTTGCTTAACAATGAATACCCATAAATGGGGAATATCATTCTTTTACTACAATTGAACTACATTGTACCATATGAACTTGATATGCCTCTGCAGGCTTCTGCTTGCTGTATTTCATTTTGATTGATTCAACTTACCTCTAAAGTTAGTAGATATAGATTAAATCATGTTAATTATAATACATGTTTTCATATATGAAACAATGGACCTATTGGCATCTAGACTGTTTAAATAACTATTGATCAAAGCATACTAAGGTTGTTTCATTCAAAAAGGATATAGATTAGCACACTTAACATGGGGTGATTTCATTTCCATATAGACTATTCATTTTTCCCCTGAAAGGTGATAAAATTTGCTCTGATTTGAGAATAATTTTCATAAGATAGAATTCTGAATCTTCCTTCTGACAGACATAAAATTTGCATTATTAATGTTTAACATCATTGATGAATAAACAAATATCCCAAAACCAATTCTAAAGACAAGGAAATTGAAAATTGAACATTAATAAATTATTTATGTATAGTCAAATGTGTTATTCAATACTGTATCTATTTCTAAGTTTGTTTTATTGTTTGTTTTTCCATGCACAGCAGCACCACATATGTAAACAGATGGTGAGGAATCCAACCAAATGCTACAATAAATAAGAACTGCCAAAAATAAATCTTGTACAAAATTCATGTCGGAATAACAGGCAAAGAATGGTAAGCGCAACAAGTTTTAAAAATGGGACTGCAAATTAGTCTTCCTACCTTCCTACCCCATAGTTTGTGGTGGTTCTTATACATAACATATTGAACAATCTGAAATCACTTGAAGACAGTTTCTCCATAATTATATTTCAATCACCCAAAACTCAAGATTATCTTTTAAGTGGTTGCCACTCTCCAAAGATTGAAAAATTAGAAATAATGTGTCAGATGTAACATAAAGAGTGGTCCTCATTAGAAGTTATCAGGTAAGTTGAGATAAATGTAATCTGCAACCAAATATGATTCTAGCTCCAACATAGAGTATATCCATAGAAATCTTATAAAGCATCTTGCACAAGAATCATTTATATCATACAGTATACAGCATGGATAATTAACAAATATAAAAGTGATTTTCAGCAAAGGTATCAAATTTGCTATCTACAAATTCTAATTTGAATTAGGAAGATCTTTCTTTATACACAATTTGCACATATGTAGAAAAAACACAAACACTACCTGATATACACTAATTAGCTGAAAAGTGCACTGAATTTAATTGCTTGAACCAATGTTGGCTTCCATATAATCAACTAATTTGGCTTTTCTGTGCACATTTCAGTCTGTGATAAAATAAGTTAACAACCTTATTGCAAAATTGTAATAAAATATTAAAATGAATATAGACTATTCAACTAAATATTGCCAAATATACATATATGATATATGTACAAGCATGCTGGAAATAATCCTTCTCCCCATCCCCTTGGAAATAAAAAAAACATAGGCCATAAATGGATAATTACATTCAGCAGTGATGATAATCCTCATCATATACAGATGGGAAAAGTTTTCTTTTCTTTCCAAGATTTTGTCAAATTAGTTGTAAGAGAAGGAACTAACTTCTGCACCAATAAATGAAGGATACTTTTCTTGATGAAATTTGAAATCAGTATCTCAATAGAATGTTCATGAGGTCAGCTATCATGCCTTAGATCATTTTTTTTCAAACCCCTTCAAAAGATCTTGCGAGGGTAAATCACACTTTGTAGATGCAAACTTCTCTGAATCTTGGAAATAATTAGAAAAAACCGAATCCAGGACTGTAAGTCAAGGATTGCGTAGAAAGTTATCCAACATAAGCTCTGGCAATATCGTTTAGACAGCATTTGTCCTGGGCTTCAATTTTGTGTGTGTGTTTTGGGCTCTAGGTTATGTTTACAGTTACTGGTATGGTATACTGCTGGGACTAAGGAAGATTGTGGAATGGACAAGTTTTTCAAAAAGGACTGCAGTACAACTGTTATTAGAGCATGTATCAAACTGTCTGAGCAAGGAGCAAAGATGCAAATTCATATTTAAGGGTCTTTGGGAATTACCTACTCCCTCAGAAAAAGGAGTTACAGCTGTGCGTCGCATGGAACTACCCTGCAGGCATACATACTTGGTGTCCTTAGAACGGGTCAGCACAGGGTTCTTATAGGCTATGATGACTTATAGCATTCCTGGAAAAGGGTTCTAAGCAATCCAGATCACCACACAGCACACGTTCTGTCAAAGCTGTTATGACTTGTAGCATCTATGGCGATCTGGAGTCCTATACCCCTTGCACAGTGATGGACCAAGTACCACCACAAGAGTTCTATAAAGTCTCTTAGGCTAGGATATGTCATGTAGCATTGAGTGAGAAGAGTTCTAAGCAATCCAGATCACTACACAGCACGAGTTCTGTCGTAGCTGTTATGTGTCTTGTAGCATCTACACAATCTGGAGTCCTATAAACCTTGCACAGCAATGGACCGAGTACCAGCACAAGAGTTCTATAACATCTCTTAGGCTAGGATATGTCATGTGGCATTAAGAGAGAAGGGTTCTAAGCAATCCAGATCACCACACAGCACACGTTTTGTTGAAGCTGTCATGACTTGTAGCATCTATGTGATCTGGAGTTTGCACAGCCATGGACCGAGTACGAACACAAGAGTTCTATAACGTCTCTCAGGCTAGGATATGTCATGTAGCATTAAGAGAGAAGAGTTCTACACGGTCTGGATCCCAATACATGTTTGAAGAGTGATAGACTAGAGACCACACATAGGGGATGAAGAACTCCTCAGGTTGGTCCTCCTCTACGTATCGAAACTTCAGCTCAGGAAATTTCTGGAGCAAAAAGAAAGAAAAGGGGAGAACAAAACATCATTATTATAATTAAGTATTTTGCATCACACGTACCTTGGAGGCGTGGCATGGTTCTCTCTTCCCGGTTTAACTGATTGGGAGTGTGCAGATGGACCACTACTCTTATACGAATAGCGCAGTGTTCTTAACGTGTGTGCAAAGTTAGGGACTCTCCTCTACACATGGACTCCATTTAACATCCTATCCAAGGGACATAGTGTTTTCCACTGTAACAGAGCCAGCATATATGAAACATACAACGCAGGCTTCAATCATCCACGTGGGTTGGATTCGAACCCACAATCTTTGGTTCGATTGGCAGACACTTTAGCAACTGAGCCAACTCCTCTCCTTAACACGTAACATTCAAATGACATTCCAATGCTCATATCTGATTCAAAGATGAAACATCTTAGGAATACTGAATTAGCTGGGGACCAAAATTAAAGGTTCAATATGCAATATTCTAGACAGTAAACTAATAAAACTATAAAATTATTTGATATTTAGTCTCATCCATGCAATAATAATAAAATAAAACTGGATTTAAATAGCGTTTTATACGGAATACGATCTCTTACCACTTACAGATATAATTATCAACCAAGCAATCAGATTTATTTACGCACAAGTGTTCGCAGTCTCCATTCCCGGGGAGTGTTCCTACTATATGGTCACTGTGAGTGCATATGGCAATTTCTATCACAAAAGGCTTTCGTCATCCTACCATGTCCCCATTTCTCTACTGGGTATGGAGTGGCAAATGTAGATTAATGTCTTGCAAAGGACATAAGTGCTGTGTCGAGGATCGAACCCACAACCTTTGCATTTCCAGTCAAATGCCTAAACCACTCTACTACAACACCACTGTAGACGGGCAATCACCAGTTACAGTATTCAGGGATACTAAATTTTCTATGTAGTTAGTATTTTGTATGGGACAAACTACTTTTGACTTGCCCATCTCCTAGTTTGAGAGACTTACCCTCAACCTATCCCTGGGCCATTGCAGCATGCCTTGTTTAATGATGCCCAAGACTTCATGAACTGACGGTGAGTCGTGCTCTTCTTGAGTCTCTTCTAACCTCACAGAGAAGTACGTCAGTACCTGCAAAGAGAAAAGCAGAAACATTTATGACCTTGAGAGGTTTATGAACATGAATGGTTAAGAGTAAACTTCACCGAGGAAAAGAATCAGAACCCCAAATAAAAACAAGGAAGTTTTTTGGATTGAAATTTCATCAATATAAGCTTGAAATATGAAGTGGAAGATTCTTTTTTTTAATAGCTTGAACCTCCATAAACATTAGACGTTATGTTAATGTCTTGTATAGAGTTCATTCAAAAGTGCAGATTTTTAGGTTTTAAAAATATTCTTTTATAGTATTCAGCAAGGGTATAGTGCTAGAATTTGTGGATAAACATTAAAAACATGAAATCCAGTTTCAAAATCAAAACAGTATTTCACACAGATGAATCAATTCAATAGAAATTAGATGAAAATTACACTACCAATAATGAAATTATGCCAACAACCATGTTTCATTATAAAAGAGCACAGCCATGTTAGAATCTGGAAACTGAATTTTTTTTGTTGGCATGGCACAGAACAGGCAAAAAGTAGAAAAGCTCTGGACTTTCTACTTAATCTGTTATCCCTTTTGGGATTTTTCAGATAATGAAAATTCAGACTGAAAGCTACTTGGGTCAAATTACACGACTTAACATGGTTAAATCGTTGGTTGTTGGCTACCCGCAAGAATGCCTTTACTGCCATTGGAATACATTACCCTTACAGCCTTCTCGCGGGCAGCCAATGATTTGCCTTTGAGAGCTTGGTGTGAGTCTTATGATTTTACAGAAGAGATACTTACCGTGTCGATATTTTGTATGATATCTTGGAACTTGGGATGTGATTTGAAGCTAGTGAAAAGGTCTTGCTTGTAGAGTAACGTGTACACTAGATGAGGATTGTGGGGTAGCATGTTGATGAGACAGGAATTGATGATTTCTAGCACCATACGAATGACCTCCTCTAACACGCTAAGATCTGATAACTGAAATCACAATAAAAATACAGAAAAAAATATAAGGTGCTGTTTTCAATTGTTGTAAAATAGAATTCTTTGGCTCACCTTACAATCTTGCTTGATCCTACACATGAAATTTCTGACCATGTACTTGCTACTCAAATTAATTTACATGTGACTTCAACCTCAAATCCTTGCTACAAAATCACCTCTTGTTTTACACATCAAAAAAACTAGGCAAATCATTCAATTTTTTTTAAACAACATAATTGAAGGCTAACAGATTACATTTCCTCAGGTTAAAACTAAAGGGCACAAACCTTATTTGTAAAATATCTTTTTTAATGCTGTTTTCCATTAGATTTTATAGGTATAATTTGATTTGTAATTCAGAATGAAAAAAATAAAAATGAGGTGCACTTTTACAAAACAGTGTAGCAATGCTCTTAACTACAAGAGTTCAATCCATGCAAGTACATTTGGTAGATTTCAAAAACTTGTCAACACATCTTTAATTCACATTCACAATAATGTTAACATATCACTGGTAATATCCAATCCAACAAACAATTCCCAAGGTGATGCACCAGCATAAGGTTGCCTCTACAATTTTGGAGAACATCTAAGCAAAGATAGCATGTACCGTTGATTTAAAAACAATGGAAACTGAAACTGATTTATCAAATCATTCAATATTCTAGTCGGATTGAGAAGACATATAACCTTACCAGATCATCGTGTTCCACCTCAGCATCCTGTGTAAGGTCTCCATTGGGTTCAAGCGCTGATGATGCTCTCAGCTGCTCTACAATCTTATCATGCTTCTTGATCAGTAACTCAAACAAACTACAGTAAGAAAGAGAGAAACAAAAATAAATATATAAATACTTTTCAATAAAAAATTTCAATCCTTCCTCTCTTTAAAAAAAAAAAAAAACCATATTTAGTCCTTCAACCCATTGGATATGATCAGCCTTTGTATAATATGCATTTGCCACAGACCAAGTTATCTCAGGAAAACAGCTTCACATTAACTATCATGTTAGGGGGGGAGGGGGGGGCTTAAGGAGTCCTGCTTTTTTTGAGATTGTGCACACATTGTGTGCCGGTAAGCACTGAATCCAATGACCGGGGTAATAATATATTTGTAAAGCGCTATATAAAAATTAAATATTATTATTATTTTTTTAGGGGGGGGGGGGGGGAGGGACTTCAGAAACGTAGAAATACAAAATCTCCTCTACAAGGATACAGGCAAGGGTAATCAATATGCCTGGGTAATAATTATGTCTATGCATTCTTCCAACCTCCCAAACCACCACTCTGGCATGCTACAAGACCATATCTGACTCGATCTGGACTAACAGGAAAACAAATCCTTCCCATGAAACCTGTATGCAGTAGAGACTACTCACCTGACTATTCTCTGTGTAACATAGGGATGCAGGGAATGGAACTGAGAAGACATGTTGGCAAGAGCAGCTAAGCAGTTTGTATGCAGGTACTTATCCTGTGGGTACACAATCAAAACAAAAAGGTAACATATCAAAGAGGATTCCATCTTAGTTGACTATCAATAAAAGTTTTTAACATTTATGTTTGGCACTAGAAAGCAGATCTTACACTTTTTTGTTCATTCATTCTGAAAGAAGATAGTTTACTGTAACATCTACAAATTTGAGTTTTTTAAGGACCTCATATCATTTCACAGATTGAGGAATGACCTACAAAGGTACACTACATCAAGTTATATATTCCATATGTTTGATTAATGCCCATGTCTACATGGGCATTTCGCTTGAAAATTCATAAAGAAGACAGGATTCAGAAAGATGTTTCTTTCTCTCCTCCCCTCTCTTCCCTCCTCCCCTTCCTTTCTCAAAATAATTGCCAAGCAGCCTCATTCATATTAAGTTTGATTTCATACACTTATACATTGAACTGTCCAGAAGTCAACAAGTGAGTAAAATGTATGTAAGAAAGCCCTACAAGGAGGAAAGTGAGAATGTCAAAAAACAGTTATCCTTAACTTCATATTTTCATACAAATAAAATAGAATTTATGGCAAAAATAGTCAATTTTGACTAATTGCCAAATAAAACCAAAGAAAGAAGAAAGAAGACTGTAGGTAATACTCACCCTCATTCTTGTCATGTTGTACTGTATGGTCCTAATGACAACCAGTACAATCAGGCCACCAAGTGTGATCTCTGTGATGGTTCTGTCTGTGTACCATGTCACCTGTTTCACCATCTAAGACAAAGAGAAAAGGGTACACATGATGACACAAAAGTGAATATCCTCATCATTATGATATTTGAAAAGACTATCCCAGTATTAAAAACAATGTTAGTGAATAAAAAAGATAGAAAAGAAGATACTCTTAGTCTTATGAGCATCATATTAACAGAACTGGAGGGCAGATAACCTCACTTAATAAATTTGACCTATCTAACCAATTTCTTCACAACTTAAATGATGTAATAATAGACTAAGACAATGTTGGATGTTTTTTCCTTTTTTTTTCTTTCTTGTGTGTGAAAAGCATGTATAAAGTGAAAAACTATTCACAACATCTGGCTTTAGTGAGCATTTGTTCATGTAATTCATATGACTCCTCCCATATCTTCAAGTAGAAGTCTCCCCAAGCCAACAGTTGAGAAGCATCTGTGTATTTCCTTATTGTTACACTTGCCAAGACTGTGAATGACCTTTATAATATAAACAGGATTACTGGAGACAATCCCTTCTGGACTATTTCCTTCCTGTTTCCTTTAGCAGGATAAATGGAACCAGACCATATCTCATTGCTACCGCTTTCCAGGATATTGGAAGGTCAATGAAAGGTCAATACAGGTTAAAGGTGAAGTGTCTCTTTTGCAGGCTGAAAATATAAACTTGTGTGAATCCTACGGTAAACAAGAGATAATACGAACTAAAAACTCCCCTGAAAAGATTAGAACTGGTAATTGCCTTTATCTGGAATTATATCGACCATTAGGAATTTTCGCATCGCATAGAAAATTTTCAGACACTTGTACAGTATGGTCTTATGTTTTGTGCTGCGCAAAGATTCAATCAGCTTAATTTTTGTCATGACAAGAAGTGGGTTATTGATGTGAACTAATGCTCATGTACTCTTTACAGCTTATTTTATGTATGTCAGTATTAAAGGAAAAAAGAAGTCAGTCAGTCAGTCAATAGTGTCTGACAGTGAAGTCTGGAAAATAAAAAGGTTTTCTTGCATAATTTGAATACTAGGACACTATTAACGTTTAAATTTCACAGAGAGGACATACGTGACATATTCATAATTCCTGCAAAGTTCTACAGATTTTGATGTTGGCTGCAAAAGGGATACACTACCTTTAATAAACCTGTCATACTAAAGATGTTCCAGATAGAAATAAAAATCATCTTCACCCAGTTAAATGGGCACAAATCAATGAAGACGTTTTACGACTCATGAGAAATAAAGAGTCCTGTGGAGATGTTGCCACCTGTAATTGCTTGATGACTCACCAATTCATGAACACACTTATTGAAGGAATCATCTTCACTCAGGATGAGCAGGATGATGAGAGTCATGTAGATGTGATGTGAATTCCTCTCCTGGGCATTGTACAGTATCTTCAGTAGGGGTATCACCTGTTTACATAAAAACAATCAATAATAAATAATACCAATCTATTGATGAGCACATAGAGAATTCAATTGTTTTTATTATAGGATTCATTTTGCATCAAATAATTGTTGCCTTGTTGAGCAAGCCTTTATAGCCCTTAACAAATGCATCAACATTTTGCAGTGAAATAGAATATGTAATAATTTGGAATATTGATCTACTTATAAAATTGGTCTGTATAAGTTCAATTGGTGATATAGAATATAGGGCGGGAGGGGGGGGGTGTAAAAATATTACTCTTGTTTTCGATTAAACTAGAGACAAAGGCAACATTTTAACAGACAGATTTAATGGTCTACATTCCCCTCCCCCACAGAAATATATCAAAATGATTTAAAGTTCCTATAATTTGATTAACAGTTCATAGCTTATCAATAAAATACACTGGAATTATGATGGGAATGCTAGCTAGGGTCAACTGCCAACTCTTTGGCTCTACTATCTATGATAGTAAAACTGAAAAATGCAAACATTTTAAAGAAGCACAACCCCAAAATATACATTACAGGAACGTACCAGTGTGTCGATGTATGTTCTTGAAAGGACATATGATCTACAACAGCACAAATATCTACATCAATACATCAATACAATATTTACAACAGTAAAAATGAAAAATGCACACATCTTAAGGAAGCACCCCCAAACATTAAAGGAACGTACCAGTGTGTCTATGTTTGTTCTTGAAAGGACGTAGTTCCTGAAGTTGATGTTCTGATGGAGGAGGAGGTAGAGGAGGAGTGTGCTTTGATCGTCTTTGAGATGGTTGCAGAATGCTTCATACAGGTTAGCTGAGTTGAGCTTGAAGGGTGGCAGGGAGCCAGATGGACCAATGGGCATTCCACCATCTAGGGGGAAAAAGAAAAAGAATCAAAATATGATGATGATGGTGGTTATTTTACCTGACTGCTAAGAAAGCATAAATGCTTGTAAGTGAGCAGCCAGACGGCCTACGGCTTTAGGTTCTCTCTGAGGGACCTGGTAATGAGGATTAATGCCTTACCAAAGGGCACTAGCGCATCGACTTGGTTTCGAACCCGGGTCACCGGAATACGGGACCACTGCTCTACCGACTGAGCTATCGCGCCTCTTAAATGAAAATTATATCACTCTGTTAACAATAACAAATCAGCCTAAACTATTGCATTTAATAGAATTCTGATTTCCTCTAGATCATATTACTCTCTCAGGTTTGAATCAGACCAGCTGAGCTTCTTAGATATATTCACTAGCAACAAGGAAAATGAATGATCCTACAATCATTTTCTTTCATTGGTCCACAGTTTAGAATACTAGACTTGCAAACACATACTGCAGCGAAATTCCCCAAAAGGCTGCAGTAAAATATACATTGTGTATTGAATCAAAATAGACATAACAAGCATTTAACTGTTTGGAAACTTACACTTATGGAGAAGACTGTGTTTACCTTGTGAATTTGCGAAATTGCAGAGTGCCTTCCTGTAGGGATTGTGTATCCCCTTCTCATGTGTGTAGTGATTGGTGAGGACCTGTAGGAGTAGAAGACTCTGGTTGGCTAAGAGTGCCCTGTCTTCTCTATCATCCGGCTTGGATCTTGTCCCGTAACCTAGTGTGAGCACTGCCCAGATACCGGCTGAGGAAGGACAGAATAGCATCAGTATCACCATTTTGATAACAAAAAAAATATACCGTTCTTGTATTATAGCGCATGCCGCATTATGATATATAACTTCTCTACACACTTTTAAAGGACTTTGGATATTATTACCCCGGCTTTAGCTCCAGCAACCGTAGCGCTCAGTCCATTCAAGGAATGAATCCTACCAGGTACCCACTTACTACACCTGGGTTGAGTGTGGCAAATGTAGATTAATTAACATAGGAAATCCACATACCAGTGTGTACACTCATACTACACTGCTTAAGTCTTTATGGGTTTGTTAATCATTACATGATCACACAAACAACAAAGGGTGAAAGTATTTTTAGTTCACCTTTTTTTTCTAAAGAGTCCTATCAAAGGAACCAGATGTTCCTACCCTTAGGATTTATTTCCCCCCTTTTTTTTAATAAAAAAAAAAAAAGATAAATGAGATTTCTGATACAGCAGGTATGCTTATATTGGACACTTACGCTATGGGAAGAAACAAATTAATGTTTTTTTGGCTCTCATAGGACAATGTAGCCATTATGTGCATACTCACATTCTGTACAAGAACTTTGCTTAGCTCTTAATTATTTTAAATACAATAAGTACCGAGCCATAGAGATACCCCAAAAAGGAAACCTTTTGGCTGCAGTTTACAAGAGAACTACCTTGGGTACAAATGCCAGGTCATATTTTCAAAACACTTTGCGACTAGGCATGAGTCTGACCATAACTGGGTTACCACAGAATATCAATTGAGCCTACCTGCTATTGCTGCAGAGATACCGTAGAGAAAGCTGGCTGGCTTTGGGGAGTCTCTCAGAAGCTCGGCTGGACAGTCTTCTCTCTTGATGAACTGGTCCAGGAGAATCTTAACCAGAACATGGGCATCACTGGAGCTGCAGAAAGAGACACAGTAGTAAGCCAATTGGCATTATCAGATAGTAGCGATTGTGAGGTCTTTCGGTCATTACCACTCAACTCAATACAAGTACAAAGTGTCCCCACTCTATCGATGAAAATTGTTCAATGTAATAACTATACTAAAGTCATTGTCTTTCAACAAAGGTTACTACAAAATGAGCATGAGAGCTATATATTTTGAACACTCAGTAATCATGAAATCTGCTATGAATATCTATCTTGAGTAGTGCTTTTCACATATCGTTGTGTGGCGGGCGAAGGCAACATGCAGGCATGCCATAGAGCAAATTTCTGGTCACTTGCAGCTAAGGTTTTGATTGTTTATAATAATAATAATAATAAATTGCATTTATAAAGCGCTTAATACAATGTTTCTAAGCGCTTAACATACAAGTAATTAGGTACAACGTAAAATAAACATACAGCAATAATAATACATAATTCTAATAATAACATTACAGATAATTAAACTGCCCTATAAATTACTATTTCCGGTAAACAAAAAATACTTCAAACTTGCCTTAAAAGACTCTACAGATGGGGATTGACGAATAATAATAGGTAAACTGTTCCATAATTTAGGGGCTGCAATGGCAAAAGTACGATCTCCGTAACGGGTATTTGTTCGGGGACCAGGGGCGTATTGGAAATTAGCATGTGTAGTTGACCGTAATGAACGTGATGGAACAATAGGTTTGAGAAGGTCGTTTAAATATGATGGAGCATAACCATGTTTAATTTTGAATACTAACATGTTTTAATTTTTTTTCAAACATGACTGAATTCTTTTCTTTATCAACTTCTAATAAAGTGCAAACAGATAGCTTTGTATAGAATAAGCACATATTTCTGAAATTACAGGCAGTTTTATGCGAGCAACTTTTGCTTAATGCTGCAGTGCACTGCCACACTTCGCACAACGTGTTTACCCAGCAATACCAGCTGCTTACGCAATTACCCTGGCTTCTACCAGCCACACAACGATATTGATCCGGTGCGACCTTGAAATATGGATTATATCTTCTGTTTGGAGCCAGAAGGACGTCAATTCACTCTACATCAACATAGAGTTAACACCTTTCTGGCACCAAATGAACGATAACATACTCACCATTTTCCATGCATGATGTACTCTGTTATGAGGCTCTTGTGTGATATCCTTGGAATGTACATCTGGACTGATAGCAGAACCAGGAGGGTGTTTATCGTCTCCAGGTGAATCACATATGTGAAATTCCTGCAATTTAATCAAAAGGATCACTAATTCCTATTCCAATCTGATAAATGATGATAACAACATAATCTTATACATGGAGATACAACTTTTAAAGACTGTTAAATATGATAGAGCAAGTGATATGTCAGTAGCACCCCACATTAAAACCAATGAGCATCTAATTAATGTTACAGCAAGACAAATACATTTGTATGACTAGAAACATTACATAGTAACAAAGAAAACAAACTTCCTGTATCAACAGTCCTCTCATCCGTGGATTTCAGTTTCAATGAACTATAAATCCTTAATTTCTCAAGTACTACCAATCCCTTTTTCAACAAACAGGCTCATTGGATTTGAGACTGCTACATTGTGCACTACAGACGAACATCAAGTCTTACATTCCCTCCCACTGTCCTACACATTATTCAAAACCAGTTTTACTTTCAATACACTTTACATCTACACTATAATCTATAAACCATACACTACAATCAAAAGACATGTTTTGAAGCTCATGAAAATGAAACTGAAATAGAATGTCTATCAGTAACCATATAAGTTAAAGGCATCGTTTAACAATGTTAAATCTGAGATGCATGGCCCTATGTGTAATCAGTGTCTGTGATATGGTGTAATATTGAAGCCCAAAAAGAATGGCGCTTCAAAATGAACATGAAGTGCCTCAAAAAAGTGACAATCTTTGAGTGACCGGTTATACCATACTCATTTTCCCCAATAGACTGAAGTGTTACAAAAACCATTAGGAAAACGGTTTTTGAAATTTTGATTTCCAATCATACACTAAATATCTTGATAATCAGACAGGCAATTGGGTTGTAAAATTCATGGGGTTCCTGAATGACTTTAAGGTTTATAATTATCATTGCAGCATGAGCTAAATCCAGGATTTTTTTTTCAGAATCTGAGACAAAGATAACCAATCCCTATAAATAGGATGAGTTCACTTACAGCACAGGGACTTCAATGAGGAGTTGTATGAGAGTCTGGATGAACCTCTCCAAGAGCGACTCGTCTCCGTCTGCATCCCCATTCTCCATCACATCTTCCACATTAAGCACGGTAGAGGAGGGTTTGGTTCTCACCAGGACCGACAGCTGCTGGAGGATACGCCCCTCCGACAGCATCTCCAGGAAGTACTTCATGCTCCGTCGGATGATGAACAGGGCGTTGTAGGTCTGCCACGTGAAGACATGGCTGAAAGACAAATGCAATAGTTCAGAGCTCAAATGTTGCTTCTTTAATCGGGTATTTAATATATAGTATTGAAAATGACTAGCAAACAGATCTTAAAGACACTCATATCAGGTCCCATATCCAATGTTGATCTTGACATATATTGATAAAATAAAAAACACAATTCATTCCAAACGATTCCATGACAGGGAAAAAATACACGGGAGCTCAGGGAAAATTACTCCCCGAAAGTCATGAAAGAGCCCCCCAATATTGCAAAGAGTTCAACGCAAAACAAATTTTTAGAGTGTTATTTTCATGCAAGCAAGCTTGAAAATTAGACCCCAAAATTTTATAAATATTTGTTTCCCTGTTCCAAGAGCAAGATACATGTACATGCACAGACATTTCAATCCAGACTGTCTTTAGGGTACCGTATTCATAATGCAAGGTAAGTGTCAAATTCAGAAGTGTGTCCAGTCATTAAAGGTAAAGACCAGTATTGGAAACGCCCCAATTTCAAAAAATGAAATGGAAGCTCTCATTACCAATCATGTGAAAGAATATGTTTTGACTAATACATGATGGTAAAAAGTTTGCCGGGAAACCGCCTACTAATTCATATATTTGGTAAATTTGTTTCTCTCATGGTCTGTGAGAGATATAGGGTAGTCCCATATACATCTTTCTGTGTATAGTGCTTGTAACTTTACGAAGAATGGGCCAAATTTCTTATCATTTTGATGATTCCAGAACCTTGCAGATGCTAGATGATCAACCTTTTCTGATCGATTCCACAACGTTTCTTTCACAATGCAATCTTATGACCATAACTGGTCTTTACCTTTAACATATTTTACACATGAGGACAAGTTTAGAGAAGAGGCAACAGAAATTTGAATCCAAAAAATAAAATGAGAAAGTAGAGTGCACCAAGACCAAGGAAAAGAGCACTAAAAAGGGTACAACATGTAAATATTTGATGATAGTACAAACAAACCATAGAAATATTTTACATTTTTCTGCATAAACAAAATAATAGGACTACCAAAGTGTTTAAAGTTTAATGGTTCAGTATTAAAGTGATATAAACTTTGGTAGTGTATTTTTTTTAAAAATCCATTGTTCTATCCGAAACTATTTTAAACTTGGGCCCATTTGATTTTGTATCTATAGTGACAGTGTTAATGTTTTTACATTGATATGTAATGAAAAAGTACTAGTTACTGGATATGACATTGCTAATGAAATATGATTATTCTTTGTTTGCTAAATATACAATATATATCTAAAGGTGTCTGTTTAATCAAATAAATCCAAAAAATTAATTCATTTGTTATGGTTCTAGAATTTACAAGAGATCCCATAGATAATCTGAAAAACCTTGTTAAGAGAAAACAACTTAATGTCTCAGAGGAATAATTTGCAAGATTAAAAAAATTCTAAAGAAAATTATATTAACAGAGTACAAACAAACTTGTATTATTGTAAATATTTTGTGAATTTGTTCAATCATGTATAATCTGTGTAATATAAATATTGTATCATTCATGTGTCTTAACACAAAAGTTGCAATATTCATGTTTTTATAGAATTGCACATGACCTTATAAATGGATATATTTGAATCTGTTATATGTGCATGCCCCTATAAGATTGATAACACTGCATTCAAGAACACAATATGCTGTTTGATATGCACTGCACAGGCAAATTTTTACCCTTCCTTGTCCAATACAGCCCTCCTAAAGCTGATAGGAATAATGACAAGAAACAAAATATGAGTAAATTTGGAGGGGGAAAATGGAGGTATGTACTGTAAGTACTTGTAACAGAATAAATCTAAAAATTCTGTAGGAAAATATGCCTTCTATGATTTTGCAACAATTTGTTATCAAATTACTTTTCATCACTTTTTATTACTTGAATGTGATTAATTACATTTGTTCTTTTTTCATTAGAAGAGACAAAGAGGTTTTTAAAAAAAGGATGGAAATTACTTTGAGAGTAAAAATAAAGAAGACTAAATCATCGTTTTGGTGAAAAGTCTTCCTACATGTATAATTTGAAAATACAGAACAAGTTTTACACTACCGGTAGACACTTTTAAATAAAAATTTGAGGATTTCGATGGTACTCACTCTTCATTTTGTGCTGAGACTTTGAGCTGCATGGCTCTTTTGTTGAACACACGAACCAATGCACACAGGTTACCTGAATGGAGGTTACTATGAGCTGTAAAGAAACATAAGTGAGACCAGGGTTCTCGTGAGTGTACAGAAACACCTCTTGTGCTAATACCAATAAGCCAGTTCACGGTTGCAGTGTGAGCATGAGCAGATAAAGGTCATTGCAGACCAAATTGTGAAATACACAGAGACAAAGTACTTGATATGTGCTCATGAAAGTTATGTAATCATTATTAATTTATGCACAAGCAGTGTACTCCATGATAAACGGTTGGAATTATTCTTTGAAAAGGGGAAACACCTCCATCGCTGTAGGAGTACATATTTCAAAATGTACAAAGTACATGTAGGACCTCTTCATGTTTTGAAGATCTGTGGCTATTCGGGGTCATTTGGGACATGTGATAACCGTGAACGGGTCTATTATGGAGGATTTCTGGAGAAAAAAACACCTACCAGGAAAACAACAACTTCCACAAGTCACAAGCCTTAAGGGTAATAAATCTGTCACTGCATACCGGGTACTTTTAATCCCCCTCCCAAAATCATCACAATGATGCTGCAAGACCATATTTTACAGGTATCATAATACAAATATTGATCTCTAACTGTAACAATCAAGAACTTACCTAATGTCTTGCAGAGATTCTGTGATGATTCCTCTATCAGCCTAGCATCGGCACTACTGTGTGGGATGTTGAACGAAAAGGACAGGAGCTGCTCCCAAAAAGGATCTGTATCGTCAATAGATTCCTTCCCGACGAATCTCCGAAGAAACTCATTCTCTCCCAGCTCACTCAGGCTACTCCCGGTGCCACCCATTGTGAACCCAAGATGACCCAAGAATGACCCAAGAATCAGATGGTCTTCCCTACTGTAAAGTATTCTTTCTTGATGCTAGAAAATCTCTCTGGTTCTGGTTCTGGTCAGGGCATTCACATCAAAACAAGTTCTTGCTGTTGAGTTTGTCACTGAAGGCCATGATGGTCAAGAAATTCAGAAGTGGAGCAAGTCATTTGTAAAGTTCCAACCAACTGTAAAGATAGCAAAATTTGAAATATAAGAAACTATAATTTTTCTTTCTTTCTGACTAGTAGTACTAGACAGGGAAACAGTTGCAGCCCAAAGTACTAAAGACAGTGAATAAACATACAAGATAATGATTCCCTTGCATGGGGCTTTTACAATGAAATAGACCGTTTAGGATGAGATGACACGTACCCTAAAAGACAACTATCCCTGGACACATAACTCATCTACAAATGTACAGTAGTTGAAGTTCCAATTTTTTTTCAAAACAAACTACGTTTAGGTCTATCCATCCCATTGTTACAAGAGAGGTCCAGTCCAGCTTTATTGGAAAAATGATTGTAGACTGCATACTGATCATTATTATTTTTTTTAATGAACTTGGCTTTAAGTCTAATTAAGACTTGTAGAGAAATCTGTAACATAAATTGGCTGGTGATCCATCACAACAATGAGCTGGCGTTGCTAATGCATATCAACAGTAGGCCGGAGTGTGTGCGTGTGCGTGTGAAGTTAGCGACTGTAATCTGAGATATACTCATTGAATTCATGCAAGGAATTCACATTATGAATTGATGATGATGATGATTACAGTTGCTACCTTCATGCACGCACCCTCGCACCCCGGCCTACTGTCGGTAGACTATGCCCTTGTAATTGTATACAGACAGTAACGTGCTGCGTTCTGTCCTGAAACCTGTGAGAAAGTGTAAACTAATGTCTTTGTTTTTAAGAAAAATACTCCAAAGAAGATAAGAAAATCGAAATGAAACAGGTAAGAAAGATAACGACTTTTAATCCCGACCATTATTTGAACAATTGTGGAAGATTTAATTGATTGTGTGTTTAATTATGGGTAGACCTACATCTCCTTCCTTGCCAGTTGCAGGAGTCACGGTTCCAAATGGTCACAGTGGTGAACAAGCGCAAGCACCGTGTTTTCCACTTAACATTGTCTGCGTCTATGAAACAAGGTGAGGGATACGCTAACCCACAACGCAGGCTTCAATCATCCACCTGGGTGGGATTCGAACTCGAGATCAGATTCAGACTTTGGTTCGACATGTTCGACAGGCAGACATTTTACTTTTAAATTTACTTTACAGACCGAGCCAATCGAGCGACATTGACTTCTGAAGATGATACAATGACAAATGACGGATTAGTAACAAAGAAATATGTTTAAAGGTAAAAAAAAAGACCCTGGCCGAACTAATAAATACAATTCTTATTAGGTCTACGAAAAATTTACACTCGCAGGTCACAACTATTCTTAGAACCCTCACAATCAATGACATGTAAACACGTCTGCACAAACACGAAACAGTTCCGACCTGAGCTGCGCCTGCCGACAGTTGACCGTGGGTTCACAATCACATTTCTCATCTTTATGTGCAGGTGAAAATCATGTAACAGTAACTGACAGAACATTTTACACTCTAAAATATATACATTACCTAGAATAATAAATTCAGTCCATATTATGTGGAGATCAAATGAAATATATTACTCGCGCCGTTATGGTTGTGATAGAAAATCCATTGACGTGTCGGCATCCGTTTCAATAAAATTTTACTTCACTAAATATATCGGTTAACAAGTTCACAAATTAGTTACTTGGCGCATTTACTGCACTGTCAATCTAACATTTAATACTGATCGCACATGGAACTTTTCAAACCCGTCCCATTGAATATTTAGAAACAATCAAATATTATCAAACTTTTTTGAAATTATCTCAAGTACCTTTATTACATTTGTTTTTATTATTTAAATGTAAAAACGAAAAACAACTATATATAGTTCCTATTATTTTATTTTGTATTAAATTGGCACTTTTCATTGGTTGTGAGTGGATGAAAATAGTTGGTTATTTTAGTAAATGGCTCAGCAAGAAAAATCCTAGGCTTGTAGTTACAGGCGCTTGGTTATAATTCATGAGCCCAGCTCAGTGGGCTGCTATCTCCAGCTGTTGGCTATCTCAAGAGGACCGCAGACTAGACTTGGGTGGGGAGGGAGGGGGAGGGGGCGGGGGGGGGCGGGGTGGGGCGGGGGTAACATTTATTTAGGCCAACGTGATGTACATACCGTGGCGTATCCAGCATAGGTAAAGCTAGCAGAAAATAACTATGTTTGGGTCCTATTTGATCAACCCATTGGTCAAAGCCCCCTGCTCCCACTCACGGAGTCGGAGGGACCCGCATTCGTGTTCCAAAATTTTTTTACGCATACAATGTCCGGCCCGTATTGACTTATACACACCGGAGATATAGGGGTGCTTAATTCAAAGGGAGCGAACATGCATACAGGTACCCTAAATAACATTGAGGGGGAGGGGGTGGGTTGCCCCACCCACAGCCGTCTGGATTCCGCTCCTTGTTTAATGATTTGCAACAAGAACAAACATTTCCATAAGTACACATTGTCATTTTACGGTTTAAACTCACTACTTTTTCTTCATGTTCAATACCTCTTCCCCCCCCCCCACTCCATGAACGGAGGGATACCATGCGTGTTCCCAAAATGTCCGGTAAAGGGATACTTTTCACGCACCAAAGTCCGGCTTGTAGTACACAAAAATCCGGCCCGTATTGACTTTACACACCGGAATTAGGTAGGTTTTTATTAAAAGAGGGAACATGCATATGTGTACCCTAAATAACATTGAGTGGGGGGGGGGGGGGAGACCTCTTCAACTTCCTTTTCTTCGTCTTCCTTTGTCAAGTAACGCCCGGCTGGAATGCTCCCCAGGGAGTGGAGATTGTGCACACAGTCAGTGCGGGCAAGCAAATGACCGGGGTAATAGTATTTTGTAAAGCGCTTAGAGACATTTTGTATTAAGCGCTATATAAAAATTAAATATTATTATTATTCTTCTTAATGTTTACTTCCTTTCTTTCTTGTTGTTTTCTTCTTATTTATGTATATGCTTGCGGCAGTGGCGGATCCAGGGGGGGGGGGGGAATTAACTTTTTTGGAGATGGCCCCCCCCCCCCGGCGCACAAGGGGGGGGGGGGGTGCAATTTTTCAAATTTTCGAGGGCCCCCCAAAAAAATGTTTACTTCCTTTCTTTCTTGTTGTTTTCTTCTTATTTATGTATATGCTTGCGGCAGTGGCGGATCTAGGGGAAAAAATTACCTTTTTTTAGAGATGGGAACCCCCCCCCCCCCCCAATGAGCGAATTATCGGCCGGCGCGATTTTCAAATTTTCGGGAGCAAAAAAAAAAAAATTAGTGCTCACCACACCCCCCTGCCCCTACCCCATGCATATGCATATGCGTACCCTAAGGGGGGGGGGGGCTCTTCAACTTCCTTTTCTTCGTCTCCTTTGTCTTCTTCTTAATGTTTACTTCCTTTCTTTCTTGTTGTTTTCAATTTCCTTCTGAATTGTATATATGCTTGCGGCAGTGGCGGAAAAAAAACGTGTAAAAACACGTAAATATTACCTTTTTTTGGAGATGGCCTCCTCCCCCCCCCCCCCCCCCCCCCCCCCCCACTGGCGCTCAAGGCGGGGGGTGCAATTTTTCAAATTTTCGAGGGCTCCAAAAATAATTAATGCTCACTACCCCCCCCCCCCCCCCCCCCCCCCACCCCCAACCCCAACCCCACTAATGATCAATGATGGTGGTTTGTTGCCTGTGACTGACGCCCTCTACATCTCTATATCTTTCAGATCAGACTGTTGTGAACGAAAGGCTTTTGTTATTGTCTGGGAAGATAGACATAAATGGCATGAGCGATGTTGAGTCATTCATATTATCTCAGAATTCTCCTGGTAATCGCACAGCTCGGGGAGATATCATTCTCATCTTATCTCATTATACATGCTTATGCACTGTAAAGAGCAGTTGCTGGTATATATTCATTCAGTTTTATTTATCATCGTCTCTTAATTCTGCAGATGAATTAGCTTCAGAGCAGCGACGTCGTTCATTCATTCATATTTCTCTTGCGCGCGTTCTATTTTTGCGAAGTGGTGAATGGACTTTATTTGATCGCGAAGCCTCAACTTCCAGCAGTGGCTTTTGTGGTGTATTGGCGTGCGACTTTAGGCAATTATGTACGTTGAATTCTCTTTGTTGAGTCTATGCAGGCAGGAATAGTACAATAACACGAATCTATTCACTGCATAGAGTGCACATCTAAATTTTATAACCGTACAATTGGTGATAAAAAGAAAGCGGGTTTTATCCCATCGAAATGACAGTTGAGCTGGTGACACCGAACTTGTTCACACTAACCTACATTTAAGAAGAGCTGTCCTCGAAAGGCCTATTTCATTTTCAAGCCTTTCCCATTTCTAGCAAGTGGAAACCCCAAGCCTTGGGCTTTAGACTGAACTTGTGATGATTAAGGCCAGACTTTCAGTGGATTTCCGTCCGAAGGGACTGGACAGGACGATGATGGCGAAATCAGTGATTTTCTTGGTCATTTTTACTGGAATACTGACTCCGTTTGCGGATGGACAACTTCTTCAACCAAACAAGGAGGTCATTTGCAACTTGTAAGTTCGATTTGTTTTTACGTCAGTTGTTTTGATCAAATATGTGAACAGTGATTACGTTGTGTTAAGATTTGTTTGTTTTTGCTGTTCCAACATTTGTAAAACCCAAGTGGTCGAGAAATAAATAAAATTGCCATGCATGCACACTTGCAAAAACTGTAATTACGCCATAATATACATGATTGATGTACATGATATGACTTTTATGAGACAGTTATTTTATGAACTTAGTGGGTTGTATTTATAATTCATTTACAATTATCATGAAGTATTGGGCTTTATGTTTCATGACAAAGTATATTTGAAATAATTCCTTTGAATTCTGAAGTCTATTTCTCTTCAAGCATTATTGAATTGGTTTCAAATTTCAGCGAAATATGTTGTTCCCAACACAATATCAACAGTTCGTTTTCACGTTTTTATTCAGCCTAAGTGTGTTTTTGATGGTCTGGCACTAGTCTGGCAGAAAACATAATTCTTTTAGTCCTTTAAAAAAAGTGATGGCCTGATAGATGAGGAATTATGCAACTGTATATATGGTATATCACGGTAAACATCCCAACAAAATAAATTATACGTCCCAAGACACTAAGTAAAAGTGATGAAAATCATGTCATTGCCTAGTACAAACATCAGTGCTGCTGGGGAAGAATTGTAAATAACACAAGTACGACAATAGAGACCATTTTCAAAATACTCGTTTATTTTAAGGGGTGGGCCTTATGCACTTGTCGAAGGCAGGATTTATTATACAATGAACCTTTCTATTACCAATTAGTAATAACTATTCGAAGATTTTTTTGTGATTATCACACGTACACAAACCATACATTATAAGTGTATAAAACGATTACGACGACAATGTAAGTAAAAACAGATCTGGGCGAAAAAGAATATTCGCGTGGAAAACATACAAGCAAACCCCTACGCCATGTCTGATAAAAAAAAATTTCAATCAGTATCTAAGTCATAATAAATCAATTTAAAGAATCACTTTTTTAGGTTGACGATCTTGATCTGAGCAATCATGTCATGTGTCCATAGGTATTTAATTGAGAGATTAACAGAAAAGAATTGATTATTACTATTAAGAAATCAATCTTACGCACTTGACATCTTTATCTGCTATTCAAACATGATCTATCATCCGTCTACATAATAATTATCTCCCTTTGAATAAATAGAGTTTCAAGAAGATATGTTAATGTCATTTTGGCCTTGTTTGAATATGATGTATTTGCCATCTGTTAGAGAGCAAATGATACCATCATCATTTATCATCTAGTTTATGGAGACTTAACGTGTCAGAAACATGATTTATGAATATAAATCTTTCTCTTTTTCTGACATGGGGAAGGGTGTAGGCGGTTACCACAGGGGTGTGACATGGGACCTATATATTCAGACATTTAGATATCGTGCGAACTTGATTGACCTGTTATCAGTCGTGAGATAAAATTAAAAATTGAACAGGATCCTCATGAGAGGGTCTTCCGTATAGGCCTACTGACTACATCATAATCGTTTATCCATTTCACATTTTCTGACGAAACTGCAAAAACTGTCAGAAGTGTCAGCTGTGATAATATTTAACCCCGATAATTAGTGTTCATGACTGCACTCGAAACTGATTAAAAATGTCTGTAATGTTGATATGACTCCTAAAAAGTTCATGCGACATCATTTTCTTGAAACGAGTCAGCATTGCCATTTTCCGCCATCGACGATTTACTTTTCTTATGGAGATGACGGCGCAACCTTAATTTCGAAACTGATCAATCTAACATGTTAGATTTGATTAATTTGGCGAGTATTTCGTAGAAATTTGGGTCACCACAATATTATTAATATTGCGAAATAATTTTATGAACACTTTGATACAGTACATCAAGCATCAAATTGTTTTGTGAATAATTATGTTCTCAAGCATATTTAAACGATTAAAGTATTATAGGGTTGGGCCGGTACATCAATATTCATTTCTTTTCACATTATTTAATGAGCATACTTCATCTTGGTATTGAAATTTCCACGAAATATTGTGAACGCAATCTAAGCTTTCATAATCAAAATGATGATGCAGAAACGAATTTCACTGCGCCATCAGTCTTTGAATATCTACCTCATGTGAAGGTTTTGTCTACATGTATGTCGTGTACAACATGTAGATCTACATAGCGGTGACATTGTACAAACATTGTCTGTATTGCTAGCTTCTTTACAATCAATGCATGACCTTCCATGCTCTCAGCCAGCCATTATTGCGAAGCAGGAAATTAAATAGGTATTACGTAATCAGTCACGCACTCCAACAAGACATTGCTTTGCGCATATAGTAATATAATCGCCAATGGCTGTCGGTCTAGTTTATTAACTTTATTGGTTTTCATAAAATCGGTCACGTGATGAATACAAGGAAATCCAAATTGGACTTAATGGCTTCAGTATAAAAGTTTGTAGTAATGACGTAGAGACTAGGTTGCCCAATGAATGAATGATACAGTCAATTTCCTATACAGATCAGAAGAAAAGCATGCAGGTAATAACTTGTTCGTCGGTATACTTTATTGCATGTACGAATGAATATCTTCATCTTATACGTTGATAGTACTGTTGATCACGACTTTCATATTGGCTTTTTGAGAATTCAGACTTGAAATTATTTTCTCACTGATACGATTGAACCAAACTCTATCAATGCAAAGACATATAAAATACGTACACGTTGTTTGTGGGCATGCCTTGTTTGATCATCTGCAACGGTGCGAATAATCATTTTCTTGGAAAGGTATTGCAATCATTCAAACGAGAGAAATACTTTGCAAATCAGTCGAAACGTCTATCGTAACCTTTCAGAAGGCAAAGTATAAAGTCCCATCATTTTTAAATGGGAAGGAAATTTACGGAAAGTATAAGGATATAAAAGTCTATTTCATTTCCTGTAACTAAATAATTTTGCATTGCAAGACTAAAAGAAAAACAATGTCAAAAAATATTTCAATGCAAATTTTCGGTTATATCATTATGTTTGTTATTGTGATTATCTTGTCATTGTTTATATTATGTGGAAAATGAAACAAATTCGCTAGATGCATATCAACATGAAGAAAGGGAGAACATGGACTGCTTTTTACTCAAATGAATGTCAATCATACACTGAAACCCATTCAGAATCAATAGTTTGTATTTACATATAAAATACACAATGTATATTCATACACGTGTGGTTAGTTGTTTTGTACAAACATCGCAATTCCCCATTATATACTCTTTTCAATTTTGACACTCGGAGGCACTCGGTGGCACAATCATGTTGTTTGCTGCTAAACTCGTATTTTATTCTGCAAAACCACACTTTCTGAAGTTATTGTTTTGGAGCTGTCTACCGCAAAAGAGGGCAGGTTTTCCTGACAACCATGCAGTGCCTATCGGTTAGCCACACATTGACAAGATGAGCCAAATATTTTCCCGCTCAAAGTCAAAGAAACAAGATTAGATTCAAAGCGAAAAGTAACATGCCTCGTAATGAAAATAAAAGTGAACTGTACTTCCACATTTATACAAAACAAAGTATGGTCTAAAAAGATTGATAACTATGACAAAATTGCCAATCTCTCCCTCAATATGTTCGTTTTGTAAGATTCTAAACATCATGAAAATAATTCTAAAATTGACTCTCTGTTCCACTTAATCATTAAAGTTGCCGATATTAATATATATATATATATATATATATATATATATATATATATATATATATATTTCTTTCTTTTGTTTCTATGTGTTAGTTTTTTGTCGACGAAGGCGTTCGAAATAATTAAACCTTTTAAAAATGATAGATATCATCGAATTATCTGGATCATCTTTCATTTTTCGTATGTTCACCGTCGCAAATCTTGTTATTGCTCAATTCTATTTCTAGTGATTCTGACTAGTGTACATGCATGCAACTGCATGACCGTGATTGCCATTTAAATTGCACAAAATCAATCAGCGACTCAATTTATTGTAAATAAACTGCATCTCATGAGTTCATTTTTTATTCGGATAAAAGATATTCTGAATAGGCAAACAACCTAAATATGTTATTAAAATTAATGGAAATTCGAAACGAAATGTACATGTACATTTCAAATCGATGAATTCTATTTGAGGGTGAATGTGAATTGATGATAATCTTTAGAAGGAATAGCTGGGCTGCACTACGGAATACGGATCTGATTATGCTCCCATTTCCTAACATAATAAAACAAGGATTTCATTCTTTTATACTATATGTATACAGCGACTGTTTCTTATGCTTGAAAATATAGAAATACATTTATAAATTCTTACTTGTGGTGAATAGGTCGGATAGCTGAATTTATTGCGGGTATATAGGTAAACGTCCCATGCAGTGTACCAGCGCACCTTGTCGAGTTCGTTTCGATTTCCCCAACGCTGTATCATCGTAAAATCAACAAGATGTTTTGTCAACTGCAGGTGCATGCTACATGAAGGACGAATTATTATTTACAAAAATGATGGTCCTTGCACTTTTTATGAATGTGTTATCATTCAGTTTCAATGTAGCCTACTGGCAGCACAAAGGCTGTTGCAATATAGGGGAGGGCAGTTGAAGGCAAGGAAGAGTGTTGAGGGACGAATAGCTATGATTTCATAATGCGAGTATAAATGTAAGAGGAGAATAAGGGTATTGGGGCTATACATGTATATGGCTTTGACCATGAAAAAAGAAAGGTCAGGGTGCAAGTCGCTGGATGCTTTGTAATGCGCTGTCACCATTTGTTTTCTTCATTGGGTTTTCATTGATGGCTCTTTTTTTATATTAACACAGGTAGCACGCTAATAATAATCAAATCCAAAAGATTTTAGTTGAAGTTAGTTGGAGAAAGAGTGGGAAAACAATGTGATTGGGAAGTAAAGAATAAATAAGCATTTGATAAAGCAAATTGAATTGAGTAAAGAAATCAATACCTGTATAAAGCTGGTTGCAAACT